ATTCGATCGTCGGTATCTCAATACCTAGCTCAATCTCGTTACCGGCAAGTCTCTTTACTCGTTCTGTAATGCATCATCCCGCAACTAACTCATTAGTCACATTGCTTGCAAGGCTTATAATGATGTGCATTACCGAGAGGGCCCAGAGATACCTCTCCGACAATCGGAGTGACAAATCATATTCTTGATCTATGCCAACTCCACGAACACCATCGGAGACACATGTAGAGAACCTTTATAATCACCCGGTTACGTTGTGACGTTTGGTAGCACGTAAAGTGTTCCTCCGATATTCGGGAGTTGCATAATCTCATAGTCATAGGAACATGTATAAGTCATGAAGAAAGCAATAGTAGTAAACTAAACGATCAAGTGCTAAGCTAACGGAATGGATCAAGTCAATCACATCATTCTCCTAATGATGTTATCCCTTTGATCAAATGACAACTCATGTCTATGGCTAGGAAACATAACCATCATTGATTCAACGAGCTAGTCAAGTAGAGGCAAACTAGTGACAATCTGTTTGTCTATGTATTCACACATGTACTAAGTTTCCGGTTAATACAATTCTAGCATGAATAATAAACATTTATCATGATATAAGGAAATAAATAATAACTTTATTATTGCCTCTAGGGCATATTTCCTTCAGGGATGGCACGGACCATATCCACGCCACGCCTTGAAAGAAGAGTGAGGATCCAGCAGCAAGCCAACCTCACATGAGCGACTCTCCAGGGCCGTTGGCAATCCTCAACCTTGACCTATCTGCCAGCAATGTTGCGACATGCATCACCCTCTGGATCTCGGCCTGAAACATAGCTTTGTCTTCCATCTTCAGCAGCCTTGTCTAGTAATTCATCAGTGCACAAGCAGTAAAAACCGCCTCAAGAGGAGACCGGATAATATGATTATCAAAAGTAACTTTGTTGTGGGTGCACCAGATCCCCCAACAGATCTTGATTAGGGTTTTTTCAATAGTAAGGTGGTTACGAGTGAGGGTTCTGGTTTTGTCGTAGCAGAGAACATCCATTCCCGCCATTTCCTCAATGGCCAACATTCTCTTGGTGATGGCACCTTGCAAAGTTCAGAACAAATTTAGTGGTATATAACACAACGTCCGTTAACTGGAGAAAGGTGATGAGAATATCCAGACACACCTGTTTGAGATAAGTGATGAGAACCTATTGCGAGCATGACCAAAAAAACTGTTGGCATCCCTCTGATCAGAATAACAAGCACATTGTTGATCCCTTCCCGGTACGAGTGGTGCTGGACCATGAGCATGATGATAACGTCAACGAAGACACCCACAATAGTCGAGCAGATACACAAGTTGCCTATGCAGGTAAGAACCTAAAATTTTCAATATGAAAATTTAGCTCTCACACCACTGCAACTAATGATTGACACATCTAATACACGAGTTGTTCCATTCTTCATTTTCCTGAACAAGATATTATTGATCATGTGAGCAACCTGGGGATTCTCTCGGTACTAACGAGAAAGAAATTGCGAAATTAGTTAATGACTTGTTGGACTTACAACCTGGGAGGGCTTTAGAGTTTATTCGTAACATTGCGGTTGTGAAGCCTATGAACGATGAGGAGATTAAAAACTTAGGAATTAATACTCTTGAGAGTCTCTGTGAGGATGTTGTGCCCAATTCGGGACAAGAAGATGAGGTAGATGAATCGGGGCACAATGGGTATGTGGCTCCTCTACAGCCGGATGACACTTTACAAACTGTGTCAGGTCATATGGACATGGAGGAGGTGCTGGATAAACCAAAACGTTCCTGTAAGAGGAAGGTTTATCCTGCATCGGCAATGCATAGAAGTGCGAGAGTCAAATTCAAGAAAAAAAATCCATGATGACAAATGAAAGGAATCTTTTGGAATAGCAGAGGTCTAGCTGACTTGGCTAAAAGAAAGTTTCTTGCAAAAGCGTCACTTGAATACAAACTAGACTTTGTTACTTTACTGGAAACCGGCAGGGACAACTTCACTCACAGTTTCTAGGCACTTTATCAGGTGGTGTCAACTTCGATTGGTACTGTTTACCCCCACGTGGATGATCCAGAAGGATCTTACTTGGGGTTAAATGCGAGACTTTAGAGGTCATGAACATCGTTCAAGGAGATTTTACCGTTAAATTTCGGGTCCGTTCGAAACTTGATGGGTTTTGATGGCCTTTGGTGGCTATTTATGGAGTGGCGCAACCTGATTTCCTAGCGGACCCTGTAAGGGTCTGCGGGGATGAGAGGTTACCGATCCTAGTGGGAGGGATTTCAACATAATCAGGAGAAGGGAAGAAAGAATAATGACAACTTCAATGGAAGATGGTCATTTATGTTTAACGCGATTATTGAGAGTCTTAATTTGAGGGAGATTGATCTTTCGGGTAGATAGTTCACATGGGCGAACTCGTTACCAAATTTGACTTATGAGAAGTTGGATTGTGTCCTTACCAGTGTTGATTGGGAAACAAAGTTCCCTCTTGTTATTGTGCAGGCGCTGCAACGTGCAGTCTCAGATCATACACCTTTGTTGGTCGATTCAGGCGAAGCGACCCATGTAGGTAATAAGAATACCTTTTCCTTCGAACTAGCGTGGTTCGAGAGAGAGGATTTTTTTAGATATCATCGCAAGAGAGTGGTCCAAGGATGTTGGTGGGCACACTAGTGTTGAACGATGGCAGAATAAGATTAGTCACCTGCGACAATTCCTGAGGGGTTGGGCCAGAAAAGAAAGTGGGATTTACAAGCGAGAAAAGGAGAGACTCACTCAACTGATTAATGAACTAGATCTGAAAGCTGAGCTTGCTCAACGTCACTGAGCATACGGCTAAAACTGAGGCCGAACAGAAACTTCGGGTTCTTGGAGAAGAGGGAATGAAATGGGCCCTTGGAGCTAAGGTGCTCAAAGTGGTCCAGGGGGATGACAATATAGTGTGGAAGATTCAGCAAGCGGGAGTCCAAGTTAGACTTTATGTGGTTTTTGTGTTATATTATTTTCGCCTAGTTCTTGAGAATGAAACCACTTTGAACAATTTATTACGCTGATCGTCTTGCCTGAATGCATACACTTGGCTAATTAATTTTCTTGATTGTCTTATTTAAGTGTATTGTGGGTTCTATTTTTTTGTTTCGTTTAAAAATTTCAAATCCTGAATCCGCCATTGAGCCGATGAGCTCCAGGATTTCAACAAGGTCGTGTGTGAAGGCACCGTAGAAATAGCCATGAGCCAATACAGGTTAATTAATTCTCAATCCTCGCGTTAACCTGTTCCATGATTCTCAACTTCCGTTGGATATTACCGGCCCGCTCTGAAGTCTGAACTGAATGCCAAGCTAAAACTGACATAAGTCTGTCGATCGGTACCCCATCGTGGATCAGCTCATGACGGAGGTCGCCATTCTGTCCTGCCACCAGTACGGGCACTACGTGGTGCAGTCTTGCATCCTGAAGACCGGCGATTACCGGGGCGAGCTGCTGCGGCGTCTGATCCAGGAGCGACCACATTGGCTTTTTTCTTCTTGAATTTATCCATCTTGACTCATTTGCTCGAACATGGCATGCAGATGAGTTGTAAGCGACGACAACTAAAATTTGCTTCAAATCCATAAAAACATGCTTCCAGAATAATTGCAAAGTTCCCTCGCAAACTTCCTTTAATCACCCTGCGTACATATGGTTCCAATATTCATTCCATGTGTCCATATCATATGGCATGCTTCCTTTCATTCCATGCTTGTTACCGTCATGAAAAATTAGATGAGGCGCCTGTGTGCTAACGTCATGGCAAATTACGTTTCGATGAAAATTAGGTGCGGAGCATGTGTGCTAACTAGATGGAAACTTATGTGTCGATGAAATAAATATTGACAACATTTAAAAAACAAAAGGCAGCTCCATTGCAGACCTTCCATGGAACTAAAATATGAAACATTACACCATTACGGCCCCAAAGCACCAAACTTCCGAGCAGCTACAACCAAGTCCAAAGCAAATGGCAGGTCCATACATTCTACTATTGCAGCAACAACATCCCAAATTATGGTGCACGGCGAGTTTAATCCTTCTCCAAGATACTAGAAACTGAATGAGAAAAAAAAGACAATTCTCATAAGATGCGGCACTACAAGCTGCAGAAAGCAACAAAAACGTGCAATGAGATTAATGGCCAAAGGATATGAACTAACCTAAAGAATAGTTATGCCATGCAACATCAACCGGCTAGTTCAAGTTTTGAAAATAGTGCAACAATATCAAGCAGTTCTGAAGGAAAACAAGTCATCAATGGAATTTCTTTTTTGGCAATTTGGCATGTAGTACATGATAAAAACAAATTGAGCGTCACCTCCCAAAAGGGAACAATGGTAGGATGACAGAAGTTATTAAATAAAACATGTCAGAAGCTTATATTTTCATTTCTAACAATGCATCCTCCTTCACTATACTTCAATTTAAAAAAAAAACATATTCGGTTTGAGAACATTGGTAGTTGATTGATCATAAATGACACTAGTGCTTAAATGTCTAGCAAAATTTGAAATCGATTGCCCTAACACTTGATCCAGACTCTAGTTGATCAACTAAAGAATCATTACCATGCAGAAACATGCAACCGTGCAGATTGTAAGAAGACTATAATGCTTGAACCTAATGAAACACCGAGGACACTGATGAGTAGTGAGATCAAGCATTACCTAAATCAAATTAAATTTATCTACGTTCCTGAGGGGTTACTCAAACCAGCAGACGACGCCTAGCAGGCACAATGTATTTCGCGCTTCCCTGGCCACACTCTCCCTTGGTCAAACCAGCATCCTCTCTCTTTGCCAAACAAGCACGCACTCTTGCACCATCCAATTTTGCCGGAGCAGGGCACTGAAGGAGAATAATTTCAACCACACAAAATACCAACCACACAAGATACCAACCACACAAGATATAAAATTACCTTGTATATATATCTTAACCTAGCCTCCTCCTTCACCAGCCTAGCCTCCTCATCCTCGATGCATTCAGGTACATCTAGGCCAGGGATAACATCACACCGTAGATCAAAACCGCAACATGGTGAGCGCGGGGCAGTGTGGCCACCTTTGTATTTATCAGTATCAACAGGGTGCTTCAAATCAACATTTCCATAACTCAAGCAACCATAGCATTGGCCTTGGGCAAAAAAAAAGTGTGTAAAAAGTCAATACATATGGCTGGGCATGAACTACCTTAGATGTTAAAAGCTCAAAGATAACAAATAAGATGAAGGGCAGATAAATGTGAACCCCAAACTGTATAACAGAACTTAATCTAAAGTGGAAGTAATACCGTGATTTATCATTTAATTACCAAATAACCAACTAGGCGAAAAAAAACATGTTTAGACTCTGAGTACATATGGTTGCCCATCTAGCTTATACATATTTAAACTTTAGTAAAGCTTGGGACCATGACACAAGGAGCAACCAAACAGGTCAACCAGAAAAAATGTGACCCCAAACTGTATGAATGAACAGAAGTTATCTAAGGTGGAACAAAAACCATTGAGCAGTCATTTCCTTACCAAACAATCAACCAGGAAAAATAACAAACATGTGTAGGAACTAGAAAGTCGCTACTTATGGCTGGGCACGAACTATATTAGACATTAAACAGTGGATGAGATGAAGGTAAAAATGAAACAAGGGGCAACCAAACACGTCAATCAGATAAATGTGAGGCCAAACTGTATGAACAGAACTTAATACAAGGTGGAAAATATACCACTGTCAGTAGGTTTAACCATACATAAACAACTGAGTACATATACATTTTCTCCTTTAATTTGTCTGACTTCAGCAAAAAATAGATTGTTGACGCCACTGTGCAAACCATCTTCTCCTTTGGTTTTTGTAGCCAGATTGATATGATAGAACCTAGTCACTTTCTCCCCCTCAACAAATTCTCGGAAGATAACAACATCATCAAGTTCATATTCAAAATCCTGAAAAGGAGGCATGGATTGTGTCGGCAATTAGAACATGAATATAACAACAAATAAGACAATCCTGGTAAGAGGACCAGGAGTGAGAGCGGGCAAGAGGGAGAGAGAGTAAACCCCCAAAAGATGGTGATCTTCATTGTATTTGTCCAGTAACGCTTGAACCAATAAGCTGATATTCCTATGTTCCGCATTGCCTTTAGAAGATTTCTTCCTTGTGCCATCAGGCCAGTGAAGGGCGTGTAATATACCAATCTCAGCATCCGAAAGCCCATCTGTGCACCTAGTTCAGGTCAGAGTATTCTATGTGTTAGTACATTGTAATTTCCATTATGATGAAAAACCATAACAAAGTTGAGAAAACTCACATCATTGGAGAGCGCAGCTCGTCAAGATGGCTAGTGATAGCGTTCTCAGCTTCCTGCAAGCTCTGAAATGGCCCGCCCAGACTAGGATACGTGTGGAAAGAACCCTCGACATCTATTCTGATGAAAAACTGTATATGCCAACCAGAAGGATTGCGAGCGAAAATAGGCGGAGACGATTGCCTTGACACTGGCAAGATGTCATGAGTTAGCGCCTCTGGCTGTGTGGAGGAAGATGAAGTGTTGGTGTTCTTTGGCTCTAGCAGTGGCGTTTCCAACTGCTCAGGCACATCATAAGAAGGGTACTCGCACCTGAAGCGAAACATGGTTAGAAAGTTAAGTAGACAAAAAAAAAATCTTTGGCACATCATAATGGGGGTCAGGAATAGACATTTTAACAGATGCTACATGCTCAATGGAGCAAGCTCGATGAGTTGAAGAATAATTTAATTTATCACGGGAGATGCATGCATAATACATGATGTTTAATCAATCAATAACAGAACCCCAAGAGAAAGAAGAAAAGAGAGAATTGTTTTTTTCTTCAGTATCTGTCTATATACCAGAGAAGGGGAGCCTTGGCGCAGTGGTAAAGCTGCTGCCTTGTGACCATGAGGTCACGGGTTCAAGTCCTGGAAACAGCCTCTTGCAGAAATGTAGGGAAAGGCTGCGTACAATAGACCCAAAGTGGTCGGACCCTTCCCCAGACCCTGCGCAAGCGGGAGCTACATGCACTGGGGCTGCCCTTATCTGTCTATATACCAGAACCCTCCATCCCATCAGACTTAAATTTGTTTTCTTGATAATTAGATGTGTGAAGAGAGAAAGACGGCTACTGTTACCTCCAGTATTCCTAGCATGCATAAATCTGGGAGGCTGGAGCAATCAGCATAGGGGCATGTTGCTTGAGATACAGTCGAGAGAGGGACAGGTCGATAAAGTTCATACTGTGGAGGTTGCGGCCGATCGTAGGGCCTCGTCTGGATGTCGGAGCAGGCGACTTCCATGCGTACATCTGCTACGCGTCGAGATATCTCGTCGACGTCCGTGAAGAGTTGTCCATCCCCGACAGCGTAGTCGGAGTGGGCGAATTCCTTAGATGCATCTGCTACGCGTCGACGTATCGCATCCAGGTCGGTGAGTGTAAAGGGGCGAGGCTTGCCTGGAGCGTAGGGGATGGGTTCGGGTTGTGGAGGCTGCAGCTGACGGTGGAGGGGAGGGGAAGGGGTTGCAGGGGGTCGGCTGCATCTGATTCTGATGGTGGAGTGGAGTGGAGTGGAGGGGGTTGGAGGTAGTTGGGTCGTGGAGGCCGCATCTGATGGTGGACGGGGTTGTGGACGACGCTGCGGGTAGTGGAGGCGACGGGAGGCGTCCTCAGCGGCCGCCTGACGGCGCCGGATGTCGGCGAAGATTTCTTGGACAGGCCGTGGCGGCCGGCCCTCCGATCCGCCGGTGACGAGAGTCCCATCGTCGTCAGTGTAGACATCGATGTATTGGCCATCGGGAAGACAAATCGTGGAATGGCCAGGCCGACGAAATATGGAATTTTCGCCGGCGAGGAGTCGTCTGAGCGGCATAGAGAATTGCCGGCGACTTGGGGAGGCAAAGGGGAAGAAGATGGGCGAGGGGAAAAGGAAGGAGCTTTCCTGGGAAGGGAGACGAGGGGAAAATATCTCGACCAGTTGTCTCAAATGGGCCGTCACTCATTGATCGTTGCTACTGGAACAAAGGTCGCGCCACATCAATTCGATCCCCTAGCACTCAAAAAAGTAGCTATACGTGGGTCACGATTTCCCTCTAGTTAGGGTTTGCCTTTTTCTCCCGGAGGCGACCACACCGCCGTCGAGTTCTATCTTCCCCTACCACGTACCCCTATCTCAGGCGATCGTTTACGACGCTGGGAGCGGCCGTGTGCCGCAGCCCTGCTTCTGCTTGGCTAGGGAACGGTGGAGTTAGGGTTCCCCAAACAAAAAACCCGATCTGTTGTCTCATCGGGTTAGGGTTCTTGATGGCTTCGAACGCGGCATCGGCCACGGCGGAAGCAGAGGATGTTGAGGCGATGATGCGAGAGCTGGGACTGACGGAGGAAGACCTAGATGATGTGATCTTTGATGAGAAGCAAGCTCCTGCGGAGGGGCCTAGATGGATCATGCTTGCCAGAGTCAACACCACCAAGACATACAGCCAGACCTGGTTCTATAGGAACATGCGTTCGGCGTGGGATGCTGCGCAGGAAGTGAAGTTCAAACCTCTTGAAGAGAATCTGTATACCGTCCAATTCTCGTGCTTGGGAGATTGGGAGAGGGTGATCAATGACGGGCCGTGGAACTTCAGAGGAGATGCGGTGGTAATGGCTCGCTATGATGGGATCTCAAAGCCGTCGACGGTCAAGTTAGAGACGATCGATATCTGGATTCAAATCCACGACCTGCCCGATCTGTATGCCCATCTGATTACCCCTCTGGCGGCCAAAGTAGGGGAAGTCTTGTTTACGGAGCCCTTGTCTCATGATTTCATTGGTAATTTCTACCGGGTCTGGGTGCGGATCAATGTATCCAAACCTTTGAAGAATGCTGTATCCATGGTCAGAGAGGGGAAGAGGCAGATCTACAGAGTCAAATACGAAAAGCTGCCTGACTGGTGTGCCGTCTGTGGTAGGCTTGGGCATCTTTACAAGGAGCATGGGAACGGGATCCACCCACCATCTGCCCTGGTGTTCAAGGACCTGCGAGCGAGCTGGGTAATGCGTACAGGAAGAGGCCCGGGGGGAGGCCGTGGCAATCGTGGAGGCAGGAGAGGAGGCCGTTCTGGTGGTAGGAACAACACCAGGTATGAAGAGGGCAATACTAGCTATGCTGGGACCAAGAACATGGGAAGAACAGGGACGGCTGCAGCGCCGGGGGCTGAGGACGTAGACATGGAAGACGCGACCAGGAAAAGGCTAGCGGCTGGACTGTTAGAAAGGACACAGAACGATACTGCAGGGCAGGGAAGGACTACAGCTGACAATAATCTAGCCTTGGTGCCTGTGGGCAGCTCTGTTGCCAGTCCACCACCGACGAGGGAGTTGAAGAGATCTAAGACTTTTGAAGAAGGGAATGAAGGATCAAACTCAGCAGTTAAGAACTTGGCGGGCTCCTTCGAGGAGCGCCGCCGGGCCCAATGAGTACCATGTGTTGGAACTGCCGTGGCGCGGGCAAAGCCGCGGCGGTTCGTGAGCTTCGTGATTTCGCGAGGCAATTTGCCCCTACCCTGTTGTGCATAGTTGAAACACAAATAGATGGTAATAGGGTAGAAGCTTTAGCTGGTACGTTGGGTTATGATAATGCATATGCTGTTAGTAGTCAGGGCCGAAGTGGTGGCATTGGTCTGTTTTGGAATAATTCAATAAATGTTGAGATTTTTGGTTACTCTGATTATCACTTGGATGTTTTGGTCGAGGAACAGAACCAGGATAGGTGGAGGCTGACATGTGTATATGGGGAAGCACAAACAAATTTGAGGCACCAAACCTGGACAATTTTGAAGAATATCAGTACTTTGAGCTCCTTGCCGTGGTTGTGCGTGGGTGATTTCAACGAAGTGTTACGTCCGGAAGAGCATGCGGGGGTTGGGCAGCGGAGTAATGCTCAAATACAAGCATTCCGAGATACTATAGATATTTGCATGTTGCAAGATTTGGGCTACTCGGGGCACTTTTGGACCTTTGAGAAAAAAGTTGTTGGAGGAAGCTACACAAGATGCAGGTTGGACAGAGCATTAGCTAATGCGGGATGGATGAACAAGTTTCCTATGGCCTCGGTTTCACATCTCACATGCGCCACGTCGGATCACGCACCGATTTTGGTGGAGTTCGGAGATACAGATCGGTTGCAAGCACAGAAATCTTTTAAATACGAGGTGATGTGGGAATCACATGAAGGTTTTAAGGATGTGGTTCTAGCAGATTGGGAAGCTAGCCCTCCATGTCTGTCGGTGGAGGATTTGAAACAAAAACTGCAAACCATCTCACAGGGCCTAGTTAAATGGAGCAGAGACACTTTCGGCAGCGTCCGGAAGGAAATAAAGAGGCTTAAGAAGGAGTTGGAAGATCTGCGGGCCGATCCAGCAAGGATAGCTCCCTCACATAATGAGTTGAAAATAAACCAAAATTTGATCGAGGTGTATCATCGTGAGGAAGTTATGTGGAGGCAAAGATCCAGGATAGAATGGCTCACTGCGGGCGGTCGCAACACGAAGTTTTTTCATCTACGAGCCAGTATCCGAAGGAAGAAAAACATGATAAAAGCCCTCCAAAATTCCCTCGGGGTAGTGGTTGATGATCCGGCTGAACTACGGGCGTTGGCCAATGAATTCTATCACAATCTGTACACTTCGGAGGGTGTTCAAAACATGGATGCAGTACTTGATCATGTTCCGAGGAAGGTGTCGGCAGAGATGAATGCCTCATTGTGTGCCCCTTATACGAATGAGGAGGTTAAGACCGCCCTCTTTCAGATGTTTCCAACAAAAGCGCCAGGGCCCGATGGTTTCCCGGCTCATTTTTACCAAAGACACTGGGATGTGTGTGGAGAGGAGGTAACAAAAATTATCTTGAGTATTGTCCGGAGGGAGGAGAGTCCGGAATGCATCAATGATACGGTTTTGGTGCTCATACCCAAGGTAACAAGCCCCACTGCTTTATCTCAGTATAGACCTATCAGTTTGTGCAATGTGTTATACAAGATAGCATCCAAGGTAATTGCAAATAGACTGAAACTCATTCTGCCAGACATTATCTCTGAGGAGCAGTCCGCTTTTGTCCCCGGAAGGTTAATTACTGACAATATAATTTCAGCTTATGAGTGTCTGCACTTTATGAAGCGGTCTAGATCAAAATCAAATAATTTTTGTGCACTGAAATTGGACATGATGAAGGCCTATGATCGGGTAGAGTGGACATATCTGAGGGCTATCATGACTAAACTTGGGTTTGCAGGACAGTGGATTGATACTGTGATGAGCATGGTGTCTTCGGTATCTTTCTCGGTAATGTTCAACGGAGAGAAGCTCGAATCGTTCCAACCATCGAGAGGAATCCGACAAGGAGATCCAATCTCCCCCTACTTATTCTTGATTGCAGCAGAGGGCCTTTCGTGCCTCCTTAAATCAAGTTCTTCGTCATCGTTTGCAGGTATTCAAGTGGCCCCAACGGCTCCCACCGTTAACCACTTGTTGTTTGCAGATGATAGCCTGTTGCTATTCAAGGCCAACGTAGAGGGTGCAGGTGTGGCATCAAACTTGCTCGAGACCTACTGCGCAGCTTCGGGGCAGAGAATCAATCATGAGAAGTCTTCAATTTTCTTCAGTAAGTCGTGTCAGGCCACGTTGAAGGAATCAATAAAAAACACCTTGCATGTGCACAAGGAGACTTTGAATGAACGCTATCTAGGCATGCCAACCGATGTGGGACGTTCGAAAAATGGCACGTTCAAATACTTGAGAGACCGGGTGTGGGAGAAGATCAAAGGATGGATGGAGAAGCTGTTGTCCTCAGCAGGTAAAGAAGTGTTAATCAAGGCTGTGGCCCAAGCGATACCAGTCTATTCTATGTCCTGTTTCAGGTTGCCAAGAGGCCTTTGTGAAAATATAACCTCAATCATACGACAGTTTTGGTGGGGAAGCAAGCAGGGGAGAAGAAAGCCCGCATGGGTGGCTTGGGATATTATGACAAGCCCGAAAAGTTTGGGAGGGTTGGGATTTCGGGATATGGAGATCTTCAACTTAGCTCTACTAGCACGGCAAGCGTGGAGGCTGCTAACGGGGGAACTGAGCTTAAGTGCCAGGATTTTAAAAGCTGTTTATTTCCCGGAGGTTTCTATTCTTGAGGCGGAGCTTGGGTCACACCCTTCTCAGGTTTGGCGCTCGATCATTGACGGTCGGGATGTTTTGATACAGGGTACTGTGAAGAGGATTGGAGATGGCGAGTCCACTTATATCTGGAGACACAATTGGATATCGAGGGAGGGAGTAAGAAGACCTATCACATCGCTAACGCAAAACCCTCCGATCATGGTCTCCGAGCTTATAGATAGTACCACGGCATCGTGGAAAGAGGAGCTGATTCGAGCAACCTTTGCTCGGTTTGATGCCGACGATATTCTGAAGATACCACTGTGTACTCGCAAGGTTGCGGACTTTTGGGCTTGGCAGGAAGAACCAAGAGGAAATTTCAGTGTTCGGTCCTGTTACCGCATGATCCTCAGAACAAAGCATGAGCGGGAGGCCTGGCTGAGCGGAGAAGCGGGAACTTCTATTGTGCAGCAGGAGGCGGACAAGTGGAGTACTATTTGGCACATGCAGGTTCCATCGAAACTACGCATGTTCGTTTGGAGATTGGCGAGAAACTCCATGCCCACTATTGATTTACTCAAACACCGCAATATGGCCACCGAGGACAAATGCCCTTTGTGCGGGGCGGTTGACTCTTGGAGACATGCACTCTTTATGTGTCCGATGTCAAGCAGCGTTTGGGCCTTAGCTCCGGAGGAGTTGGTTCATCATCTCGTGGACAGAGTGGAAGAACACCCCAAGGATT